TGTCAGGTTGTCTAAAGGCAGGAATGCCGTGCGTGAGATGACTTGAAACTTAGAACAAACGCTAAAATCACTAAAAATGCCAGATATACTACAAATGTTTGACCTCTCTAATTGGACTGACAAGAACTAGATGTTAACTTAAATTTGAGCTTCATTAGATACAATAAAACAAATCTGTCCTTTTTCATTTGTGAACATTAAATATTTATGCTTGTTCCTTTCCTCAAATCCTAATATAGAGTCTATGTTGGTGCACAGAACAGATGCCATGTCAGATCTTATTCCAACATCTCAAGCTTGCTCTTTATTTTATCAGGGCTCTTTTTTTTTTCTTCCCAGAGGACACAAAAGGCAGCAGAACAGGTGAATAAACAGCTCTAAATGTTTGTTGATTTGATTTGGGAACAGGGGAACAGTCAGCTGTCATGCAGGATTTCTATCTAGACTTATGTAACCACACTAAAAATAAAATGCAGCCATCTTTGATTCAAGTTGAGAGTTTGCGTGTTTTTATTTGGATATGTGTGTGGGGGGTGTGTGTGTGTGGGGGGGGGGAGACACAGGTGGGGGGGTCTGTGGGTCCTACCCCAGAAATTTTTGAATAAAGATGTAATTTCCTGCATTCTGGAGTATTTTAATGGGTTGTTAAACGTCTACATTTACCTCAAGAAGTAAATTCTTGAATCATTAACTATTTAACTACTTTAGAGCTCAGCACAACAAGAAGTAGCCTGACCAACAGCTCTCCTTGTGTGAATAGAGCACACTCCGCTTCTCTCATGCATCCTAACCCCCCACCCCCACCCTGGTAACACAGCGCTAAGCTAGCGGTGTTCAATTCTAGCTATGTTTACATGGACATAAGTAATTGGATTAAACGGCCATTTGAAATAAAGACGCGTCATGTAAACACCCCGTTCGGAATATTCTTTGTTGATTCAGCTCGATCTGAAAGAAATTGTAATCAGAATGAGATGGGTGGTTTATGCCAATTCATAATCCGAACAGTGTGCATGTAAACACTTAATCTGATCATCTTATTCTGATTGTGGAAAACTGACCTGACTGCGCATGTGCGATCTATGTCTGCCTCACGTATTTCCGCCTGGCTAATGCTAATAATGCTAGGGTGTCGGAGAAGCAAAACTGGTCGGTGAGCGACTCAACATTTCTACTAGAAACTTTGAAAGAACTCAAAATGATCTGTATTACCTGTAGCTCAGTCAGGGAGTGCAGTAACGTCTCCACTATCATTAAAACCTGTCGCGGGTCCATTTTGGATGCTCACATTTGTTTACGTTCATCACGGAAGTAGAACTTCTCCTGTGTTTTTTTTGAAGGAGAGTTTACCGCTCTGCGCATGTCAGTACTTATGTTCAGAATGAAAGCCCGCTGCATGCAAGAGCTCGTCATGAAGGGATTGTGCCCATGTAAACGATACATTGGAATTATTTAATCTGAAAACATTTCAATCCGGTCAAAAAAATTTGCACATGTAAAACATACTGTAGCTACAGATGTGCTAGCTAAATGCTACATATGTAGCGTTCCGCTTTTCTCATGTATCCTAAACCCCCCGCCCTACCCCCAACCCTGTCAACAACTGCCAGCACTAACGTAGTGCTAAGCTATCACACAACACAGAGGTGTCTCCCCCTCCTCCCTCCACCCAGCCGAAAAAATCCTTGAAGAGATGATCATCCTGCCAAGACCAGTGACCTCAGGGAAACACTGAACGTGATGAGTTGATGTAGGAACCAGGTAAACCCAGAGTGGATTTTTAATTGTTTGAGTGTTTTTCTTCTTTCAGCTGCTCCCTTCTTCAGGGGTCGCCACAGCGAACTGAGTCGTACAAAGACTTGGTGATTGTTTAGGCCGGATGTCCTTCCTGACAAAACTACAGACCACTGAGCTACCACAGCCCTCTGTGTGGAGCAGAGAGCTGACATCTAGGGCGCCCGGAGGAGCAGATGGGGGGGGCAGGGTTAAGGACCTTGCTCAAGGGCCCAGAGTGGGGGAAATGAGGATGGAGGCAGGTGTGGATGCTTCACCAATCCCAAATACATTTTAATGTTGTTGGTATCGGGAGTTGAACCAACGATCTTCCATTCATAGGCCCACCTTCTCTAACCTCTGTGCCACCATTTCCCAGTTGTTTAAGTTTTCTCCTAATAATCAAGTGGAATGGATTCATTCACGTAGCAATAGAAACCACGCTGGGTGAACTGATATTTCATCGTCAACGTGGGGGGTGGGGGTCAAAATGAATATTTTTTAAATGTGAGGGGGACACGTCCCCTTCACATATAGGCTAATTAATGTGACGCCTATGCTCAAGACACATTTCACTGCTAAGTACGAACACTTGTACTTCAAGCTGTCTACTTGTAATCAAATCTGCCAGGGTGCAAGGTAGTGTCAGGTGTAAGTCACACATTTTGAACAAAGCTGGCCCATTTTTCTGTCTTAGTTGACCATTTGAGCTATCTGGGATGAGTAGCTGCTTGTGTGGCCGTGTTGCACTATCAAACACAGTTTTATTGTTATTATTTGTCAGCAGCATGGTGGCTCTGTTAGTAGAGCTGCCACCTCTTAGCTAGCAGGTTGCCAAGGTTCAAATCCCAGCCAGGGGCATTTCTGGGCAGAGTTTGCATGTTCTCTTCGTGCATGCGTGGGTTTTCTCTGGGTACTCCGGTTTCCACCCACAGATCAGAAACATGCATGTTAGACTGATTGGTAACTCTAAATTGTCCCTAGGTGTGAGTGAGAGAGCGAATGGTTGTTTGTCTCTATGTGTCCCTGTGATGGACTGGAGACCTGTGTCCAGGGTGTCCCCCGCCTCTGACACAGTCACTGCTGGACATGGGCACCAGTGACCCCCGTGACCCAGAAGGGATGAAGTGGGTAAAGATGATGGACGGATGTTTATTTGTCATGCAGGTCAACACAAGACAACAATGCAATAAAGTGTTCAGGATGAGAAGAACTGTGTCCACTCGCTCAAAAAACAAAACAAGAAATACTGTACTAACGCATGCAATAAAAGTACAAAATAAAGTACCAAAAATGAAAAGAAATATAATATTTACAAGGTCCAAAAGAAATATAGAAACAACACAGTAGAATATAACTATGCAAGTAGGATTAATTAGTTTAAATATGTATTTCACAGATAGTAATATTAGCTTAAATGTACAATAGACATACAAAGTACACATAACATACTACACATAATGTGTGACAGGTTATTGCAACAGGTAGTATAATTTAGATGAACTGATGGTAAGCTACAAAAGCCAAAGCGGGCAGCATGTTCAATTAAAATAGCCTTGTTCTATATTTTTCCAAATAATTTTGCTTTAAAAATATTTTTATTCATCTGTATAATAGCCTATCTTTAGAGTTGATGAGTTTAGAGTTGATTTGTTACATAATTACTTTTATATGTTAATATCATTTGGTGATTTTTTTTTTAATAAACACAAAATCTTACATCTTACTTTCTTTTAAATATGTTTTTAAAATATCATGTCAAACTGATTTGCTTACAAAAGCAGTAAAAGCTTAATAATTTTTTTTTTTTTTTTTTTTGGGGGGGGGGGCTCTATTACAGCTAAATGATCAGGTTGGATTGGGTTTGGAAAAAATGGCTACGGGCTGGAGCTGGATTTTTTTTTAAGCCCGACTGCAACTCTATAAGGTAGAGACATACATGACACAGCCACATACATGTAGTGCAGCAACAGTATTAGGTGTCACAGATGTGGCTTAGTGCAAAGTTATTGTCAATAGTTCAGTAATTGGAGTTTACTCAGAATTTTAAAAATGACTGCGTTCAAACTACAAGAAAATGACTCATATGCACTAACATGTTGGTGCTATTAGATTAATTTCCAAAATGTGTAACTAAAGAGCAGCAATTAAGACAAATAAATGTAGCCTAACTGCTGTAGACTTTCATGCAGTAAACAGCTGCTGCTGCTGTTTTAAGAATCACAGCATCGCACTTTATACTGCAGCTACCTGACCAGTAGATAGGCTGTTGTATCGGATCATAAGACCCACGTGTAGCTACTCATAAATGATTTTTGTTGTAGTTATAAATAGAAAAACTAAACTTGCTCATATACAAATCATCCCATGGTGCTACAGTTGAAGGGACTTCTCAAATCTTTACTCTGGTATTGTAGTGCTCAAACTTTGTCCGTAATAAATAAAAAAAAAGGATCAGATGAAAATTGAGAATTGTGACACTATTCAAATAATAGGAGGCATAAAATGTGGGTCATGGGGGAAGAGCTGGGAAAAGAAGCGGTGAGTCAGCGGTCAGCTGGTGTCGGCCTGTTTCAGCCTGCCAGCAGATGAAATGACAGTCTGAGGACGGCCTGACAAGATGACAAGACTGATGATGATGATGGCACAGAGGGAGCCAGAGGTCACCACCATATGAGAACAAATAACTTTTACAGCCCACTTTAGGCTGAATATCTTCACAGTGCTGTTATGTCACAAAATAGAACACAAATATATGAAAAAAATAACAATAATCAAGCTGATTGATACAAACAGTAGAGGCTGGGCTATTTTCTACTGAAACATAACAGAGAAACTAGGTACAATAAATATAGTTTATCATTTCCATATTTCACATGATTTGATCTTGCTTCATTTTGTTGTTTGCAACTGCAAGCAAACTCACACACTAAAAGATTTGGCATTTGTTTTAAGCCAAGTGCCCTTCCTGCAGCCTCAGGCTTACTGCAGCACTGACTGCGATTCATTTTACCCAACATTAGCTATTGTTGCCAGTTGGTACACATTTTGCATGATTGAGAAACACATCACATACGGTAGAAACTTTCTCCTGTAAAATTAACACTGCAAAAATAGTCTGCTTGAGTCGGCCACTTCTGTTTGAGCAGTGGCCTCTTGCTTTTTACAGCACTCACACGAGCTAGTTTAATTTAGACATTTTTAAAATAACGTTCACGTTATCTTACCAACGACCTGAATGATCTCAGCCAGCAGCACTCCATCTGTGACGTCTGTTTGGAGGTCCTTGATGAGACGCTTGTGTCCTGACTTGGCAAGATAGTGGTTGGCCCAGTCTGTGTAGATCTGCGGTCACACACAAACACAAAAATCCATCTTCAATCATGACCAAAAAAAAAAAGAAGTCCACAACAAGGGCAGCCTCGCTCGCACTAGGTCATCTATGTGTTTCAAACTTCATCGACACTTGAAAACTACAAAAGGTATAAACAGTTGTAGCAAATTTACGACTACTAAGAAAACAGCGTGATTGAAAGGGAGCGGAGGAGCCCTCTTTCTTTTGTTGCTGCTTCGATCTGGCATATATCCGCGTGGTATTCAAATTGGGGCCATTGTGCTCAGCCAGGGCATTCATCTCGGAGCACAGCACGGCTGTTTTCAATGGGCCGTGCTGACATCACTCTCTGGGGACAGAAAAGAGCCTTCACTGCCTGGGAGGGGAAGAGAGGATGAGGGCAAAGCAAGCATCTGAATAATTTGAATAGCTCCCTTCAAAATTAGTTACCAAACTCTCTCCTTTAGTCCTCTGCTCTCACACCAACACAAGTTTCTTTTTCTGAGATTAAAAACTGTGGGAGACGATGGGTGAGAAGGTGCTGACTCTTCTAATCAAGAAGGAAATGACACTTCATGAATCCATCTTTATCTTCAGCATTGTACAGACTTGTCTGTGAACTGCAGAGGCTCGTACCCTCCTCCCCACGAGGAGCCAAAACATATGTGGCAGCACATCCACCTCTGACATCTCACTTTCAGGATGTCCCACTGCCGACTCACATTTGAACGGATAAATATCAAGTAAACACCTAGTCTCATTTCAGCAATGCGATGAAAACTTGGAAAACCAAATATTTACTAATATATTCTCCTCAAGAAAGCTAATATCTTAGCTTGGTGCGAAAGCCACAAAGTTTTAATGCTTTCAAATTGTTCAGCATTTTGGAGTATCAAAATGTGTAAAAGTTGACCCGTAAATGAAAACTGCTGCAACAAAACCACAAACGGCACATTATACGGCTGTTGACGAACTATTATACAGCAGTCTATAATGATTTTAAGTATTCACACTATTGTTTTCCTGTTTATATTTATTATTCCGACCTCTGTCCTTATTCCGTATGTTTTTTGGCGTGATTCTCATCCCACAGTTTTTAAACTATTTCAGCCATTTATGAATCAAAATGTTCAGCTTGTTCATTGCAAGGGTGTGACTTTTGGTATTGGTGCAACTTCAGCTTTTTGAAATATTTAGCCTTTTCTGCCACTTTTTTTCTCATAGTAAATGGATTGAGCTCATTTTACATCCTTCAAATCTTTAGCTCTGTTTATAACCTTTTACTGCTCCTTTCACATTTTGTTCTGCTTCAGCTTCTTTCAGCTTCCTTGTGCAAATTTAAACTTTTTTGCAACTACTTTCAGCTAATTTCAGCTGTTGTTTCAGCTGTTTTGGGATCCTTTGAGTTTATCTGCTAACTACAACATTTTTCTTCTTCTTCTAATTTCTTTCAGCTCCTTTCAGTCTTATGTCTGCAAGTTTCAGCTTTTTCTGCTATTTCAGCTACCATTTAGCTGTTTCATACTAATTTTAACTTTTCCAGCTAATTCCACATTTTTTGCACTCATTTCAACTTTTTTCTGCATAATTCAGCAAAATGTGCTCTCTCCACTTCCTTCTGGTAATTTAAGCTTCTTTCTGCCTTTTTGTTTTTAGCTACTTTTCAGCTGTTTTATTTATTTGCTAATTTCAACTTTTTCAGATAATTTCTACTTTTCTGTGCTCATTTCTACTTTTTTCATCCTGATTGGGCAAACGTTCTGCTTTCTTTGGCTAATTTAAGCCTATTCTAGCATTTCAGCTAGCTTTTTAACTTTTCTTTGTTGTTGTTGCTAATTTCAGCTGTTTTCAAGTTTTTCATGGTAATTTTTGTTACTTTCAACCTAATTAACTTCTTTGTGATAATTTCAGCTTGTTATGCTCTGGTCAGTTTTTTTCAACACAGATTTGTTCTTCCATTTCAGCTGGTTTTTTTTCAAAGCTAATTTCAGCTGTTTTTTTTTTTTTTCAAAGCTAATTTCAGCTGTTTTTCAGCAAGTTCTTCAGCAATAAGCACATACACTGCATTTTCCCAGGAAATGCCATTTCTCTAGTTAACCTTGACTTTACTTTGTGGTGATGTAAAGTTTGACACTGTCTAGTAATGATACACGTGTGTTTGAAGTTTTTTAATTCTCTTGAGTGGATCAGGAGTTAGGGGTGAGACGAGTGAAAAGTTACAGACTTATGGACGAACAGAGACTAAACTGTAATATGTCCACTTAGGAAACCTCTAAGATTCAGACATGCTGGTGGTGTGGGTGCAAAGTTGTTGAATTAAGAGAAATTTCAAAAAAGAATGGCGTGACGGTAAATTAGAGGGAGCGAAATGTTAACTGACCAGGAATAAAATGCAGTTGCCACAAAACACAAACCCTGGTCGTGTTTGTTTGAGCTCGTGCACATAAAGGCTCACACACCATGTAGGGTTAGGTGTGCACCACGGTAGTGACCCTTGATCCTTTGTGTATAAACTGTAAACAGACCTGGGGTCAGCAGGTGTGCAAACTTCAAAGCCATTCACACAGACACACACGAGTGCACTCCTTCTCATTCCTGGGCTTAATCACAAAACTTTTACGAGAGTGCAAGACTGCAGGAATACACGGAGCTTTAGAGTGACCTATAAAACCGTACAGGCTACGTTACCAAACACAAACAGAACAGAACAAACAAGAGCTTAGAGCGAAAGGGTGTCTGAAAAAAGTCTTCAAGTAACTAAATAAGGGATCATCCTTTCGTTCTCAGCTGGTCGCGCTGAAAAGGAAGAACAATCTTTAAGAGCTTTTGTGTGAGTGCGTACACTTTCTTTGAAGTCGTTTCGAGCAAATTGAGGGTTTGGAGCAAAATAAATACGAGGTGAAATGGGTAGCTGTCGTTCACAGAGCTGAAAACCACAAGGGCGTGTCAGATGACTGGAGGGGAAACGTCGGGCACGGGCAGATTGAGTGAGAAAAAAAAAACAGGACACTTTAAAGGCCTGAAAAGGTCTTTGTCAGATACATGTCTGGCATTTCACAGGCTGGTCAAACTTTTATTGATGTCAGAAGCTGTACGTGAAGAAGTGTTATTGAGACCTGATGCAGAAATAAATTATAATTATTTAAAATACAGCTGTCAATAATTAAATCAAGTTTTATGAAAGCATGATCACCTCTCCAGCTCAACTTAGACAGTTAGCATTTCAAACATTTGTAGTAAAATAATGTGAAGCATTTATCATGTCTCTCAAAGACTGTCTGTAGAAACTAAAATATATTCTGTTACAGCCACTCAGTCAAACACAAGGTTTTCATTGTGTGTATGCGTTTTACACCAAAAGACAAAAAAAAAGCTGACTTACTTTGCTAAAAGCTGCTAAATTAAAAACAATGCAGCAAACTTTAATTAGCAAACTAAGAAAAAAAAAAAAGAAGCTGTTGAAGGCGTTTGACCCAAACATGTTGAGGTTTAAAATGAAAGAAAAGCAATTTAAATATTGGATGCATAATCACAAGATGAAGAAAAGTGTAATATGTTAGCAGTGTTTATTTTTATATGAATTTTTAAAATGTTTTTACTGCAGCATGGTGGTACAGCTGCTAGAGCTGCTGCCTCTCAGTGAGAAGGTCGCCGGTTCAAATCCCGGCCGGGGGCTGGCCTTTCTGGGTGGAGTTTGCATGTTCTCTCCATGCCTACATGGGTTTTCTCCGGGTGCTCCGGTTTCCTCCCACAGACCAAAAACATGCATGTTAGGCTGATTGGTAACTCTAAATTGTCCCTAGGTGTGAGTGAGAGAGTGGATGGTTGTTTGTCTCGTTTGTCTCCATGTGTCCCTGTGATGGACTGGAGACATGTCCAGGGTGTCCCCCGCCTCTCACACAGTGATGGCTGGACATGGGCCCCAGTGGGCCCCAGTGACCCCCATGACCCGAAAAAGAAGAAGTGGGTGTAAAAGATGATTGATGGATGGATGGATGGATGGATGGATGGATGGATGGATGGATGGATGGATGGATGGATGGATGGATGGATGGATGGATGGATGGATGGATGGATGGATGGATGGATGGATGGATGGATGGATGGATGGATGGATGGATGGATGGATGGATGGATGGATGGATGGAAGAATGGATGGATGGATGGATGGATGGATGGATGGATGGATGGATATTCCAATCTTTTTATTTTCATGGAACAGTGCCCAAAGTTTCAAAAGTATAGCTGCTTGTATATTTTGTTTTGTAAAGTTTCATAAATATCAGGTGTCTCTTGTTAACGAGTCCCCGAGGCTCAATGGGATTAATCTGTATAAATAAAGGTTGAATGAAAAAACAAAAACTCTGACACGGATTCTGTTATCGTAGTCTTGACTTGTGCATTTGAGACCAATGACCAAAAGATCAGTGATCTACGTGTAATCATTGAAGGTTCTCCTTCAACTAAACTCTGTCTTAAGCTGAACTTTCTGGTTGCCAACGTCTACATTTTAACATGTACTCAGTGTTACTCCTTCCTGTGTTTAAGACAAATGTTACTTGTGTTGAATGTGACAGATTTCCTGCCATGGACTAACAATGTCTGAGTGCTGCTGGTGCACACCTGCTACTGTACTTTATAACCACACAGACGATCACATCAAAAGGAGGTCTGAGACGTCAGATAATAGGTTAAGTTTTGAAGTCTGCTATCATCCATGTGTCATCAGGTCAATAAACTCTAACCTGTGAAGATTGACGTTGACGAAACATCCTTCATGTTCAGACCGTGACACTCATGGAAACCCCCAGAACAACAAACAGGCCTGTGAACATTTTCCCAACCTGAACACCACAGAGCTTACACACGCACAGAAGTACTTCTCCTGTGGCATTAAAACATATGGAACTGAAAAAACTGAAACAAGCTCACATGAAGGATAAACAGGTTTCAAGGTTTTATAATAATTATATGACAAAATTAGTTTTCAGAGTTAGTCTATTTCTAACGCCTTTTCACTAAGTTTTAGTTTCCTCAAAATGAAAGTTGGTCATTTTAACAACCCCAAGGCTGTTTGGGGATATCAGAAACCATATTTTCTTGTTGACTCCTTCATCTGCTCAGTTTCATCAGTGATGACTTTGCATCTCTTCAGGCTGCTGCGAGCTGAGGGTGACATGTGGCGACACATCCCCTCTGACCCAGGGTGGGCCGTGCAGCAGATGGATGGTGGGAGAATGATAGATGGACTGATGGAGTCAATAACAATATCTAAAACTAGAATACAGCCTGTGGGGGAGGGTTACATGTGCAATAGTTTATACGTTATAACTTTAACATGCTATTTTTGCTGTTGCATGCAGAATCACTGTAATGCCACTTTGACTGGTGATATGTGCTGCTGATTATCCATGCTGCTGATCTCATGCTGCTGATTATTTCATGCCGCTGTATTCACTCGTACTCGTCTACTCGCACAGACTCATGTTCGTGCTGCTGTTGTTCGGCGTATTGCTTTGCACTATTATTGTTTAGCGTGTTCTTAGTTTATATCTTAGATCCTTAGTGTTGTTTCGTTTACTATATATATTTTTGCTATTTTTGGATGTAACTGGGACCCTGTGTACACAATTTTGTTCCACCTCATGTACGTGACGTGAATGACAATAAAGAACCTTGAACCTTGAATCATTATTGGATTTTTGAAGAAAAAAGAACCATATTTGCTGAAACCTTTTTGACTGTGTCATTTATAATTAAAGACTGTAACTTACAAACAAGGTAAACCTTTGAATGACTGGTTCTATTGAATTGAACATGTGAGTGTGTGGGAGACAATATGGTTCGGTACAAAAGCTGCTTGAACTTGTAGACATTTTGTCCTTTTCTGACTTCTGTATAATATTGAGTTTTATATAGTTCACTTGTTTTGCTAGTATTAGTGATTGTGTGGCGTTTAAATGGTGTATATACATTTAGGCTCAGATTTGTTCATTACATGGGAGACCTGATTGTAAAACGTCAATACGGTGATGCTAAACCACTGATCTGCCCCTGATCACATCAATATTTGAAACCATTTAATTTACCCCAAACAAGGATTTATTGTCACCACAGATTTATTTTAACTGACAAAGTCCATTATAGAGACAAGTGGATAAGAGGGACAGCTACATTACCTACACATTATTTAATGTCAACATTAAGTGTTACGACGTGTGAATTTCCTTCAGGACTTTCTTCACACAGTAAGCAGGACACTTTTCCATCAGCTGGAGCCGCTACGACTTCACTGCTGCGACCAGCAGGACACAGTCTATGGCAGTAACCGTCCACACCAACCCCATCCCAGTGGACTCACACAGTCCTCTCAAGTGGCTTCAACCCACAGAGAGCTGAAACAGCCAGCTCTAAATAAGCCCTCATGTCTCTGCTTGTACTCCATTTGGCACATGAAAGACATGCGGCTTTCTGAGGCCAGACAAGGCACATGGCCGACCAAACAACTTGGCCAACACTTGGCTGTTGGAGCATGGGAAACAGAGTTTATACGCTGGTAAACCAGGACGATGAGAGAGCATCTGTGCACATCTGCACATATGAAACATGGACTGAACAGCAATAATGACATACTTGTGGGAAAATTCACCCCTGAATTACAAAACTTTGTGTTTGTTGCCAGTTTTGATTCCTATTTCTTTACTCCTTTAACTGGCGTATGACTCCACTAAGGGTTGGTATGGAGGTTTCCTAAACAGGTGGTCCAGTTCCTTCTCAACTAATGAGTAGGACTATGGGGGCACAGCAGCCCAACAATGCTCAGCTTTTAGCAGGTAAAATGTGTGAATTTTAACGATTAATTTCAGAACAAAGCCCATGCTCAATAATCCAGGCATACAATCCAACATTTTTCAGTCAGGTCATCTGGACAGTCTCTTTCTTTCTTTCTTTTTTTATTTTTTATTTTTTTTGTGCTGAAACGTTTTGCCTTCGATCCGGAAGGCTTCATCAGTCAAGGAAACACACAACAAAACTGATTCTTCCTCCAACAGCTTACTCCAAAGTGGAACAAACCAGTTATGTTGGTGCTAAGATGGTCTCTTTGGCACGCCCCCTCCTCCATTGCTGGCCCTCTTTCTTGTTGTCAGTCGTGTCAAACTGGTTGAAAACAATAAAGTCCATGCTCAATAATCCAGGCATACAATCCAACATTTTTCAGTCAGGTCATCTGGACAGTTTCTTTCTTTCTTTATTTTATTTTTTTGTGCTGAAACGTTTCGCCTTTGATCCAGAAGGCTTCATCAGTCAAGGAAACACACAACACAACTGATTCTTCCTCCAACAGCTTACTCCAAAGTGGAACAAACCAGTTAAAAAAGAAACTGTCCAGATGACCTGACTGAAAAATGTTGGATTAATTTCAGAGTTCTGTCCTCAATCGTCTTCTTTTATCTTAATCAGAAGAAATAATGAGTTCTAGTTATTTCAGCATCTTACTTAAATCTAACCTTTTTGTCTACAAAATCATCATTATAATATTGTATATCATTTTTTTTAAAAACATACAAAAAGTGCATTACATTTCTAGAAATATTCTAATAATATATATTCGTAAGAAGCCTAAACATCAAAGTTCATGCTCAATAATCCAGATTTTAAAAAATCCAACAAAGTTAGGTCAGTTTGATCCAACAATTTGATTTTTTTTACCTCTATTATTGAGCATGAACTTTGATGTTTTGAATCACTTTGGCCATGGCTGCCTCAGACGAGTCGACGGGGGAGAGGGCGGACTCCAGAAACCATCTTATCACCATTAAACTTGTCGGCCCACTATGTGAGTGTGGGACTGAGTTTGTTGTGGCTCCTTGGACTGAAGAAGTCCTTTGGATGAAGGACGAAACGCTTCAACAACAAAAAAAAGAAACCGTCCCGAGGACCTGACTGAACTTTGTTGGATAGGAAGCCTAAAGTTGAATCAAGACTTGACCATAAAAAGGGTGTGTGATATACTGAGTATTTCCAATTTATTACAAATTGAGCTTCCAGTCAGAAAACCCCGGCAGAGCTGCAATATTAATTTCTACTCACATCACATTAAACACTGGGCATGTGGGTCCCAGTGTTCACAGGTAAGCAGAAAGTTGATTGCAGTTGTGTAGAAAATAAAAACCTTGAAGAATGTATAACAAAGGTAAGTCAAACCGTCTTTATGTGATTACAGTGTTAGAAAGACGAGCGCAGGTCAGCAGTAGATTTAAACTCCAGAGAAAGAGTCAAATCAAAACACAAATATTTTTCATAGCTTTCTCCGTCACCTAATTTTTTTTTTTTCAAAACATGACTTTTTTTGCACGTTCAGACACTAACCTGCAATGCTGGAAGACCGTTTCCTGAAGCTGAATCAAAAGCTACAGTAAAATTCAGTTCAAGGGTGCTACAGTGTGTGAACACGTGCACTGTAGGACACAAAAGCAAAACTGCATGAGCGCTAATGTATCCTGAGGGTACAATCCACATTTCTCTAATCCCTTCATTATTTTGCACACAGAACAAATACAAGTTTTCTTCATAGAAATATGAATCAACAAATAAAAAAATTCAAGTAATCCAACGCAACGAAATCTTTTAATCAAATTCACAAAAAGACTAATTAAATGTTAACTCCATGATGACGCCCTCCATCTACAAGTAACCTTCTTATAAGAGCTGTGTAGTGAGAGGTTTTAGATCAGAATGAAATGCATGAAACCCTCATTTTGATGTGTGTCCTATAGGTCATACATGTTGACAGAAGAAGCACAGCCATCAAATAATCAATAGACGTGCATATGAACAGACTATAGCCACTGATTACATTTAATAAAAAGAAAGGTCACTGTAATTTCTCTAAGTGTGCTCATATTTTCTGTTTTGTGAATCTCCTTTTGCTGCTCACACATAAATAAATAGACGGTGACCCCGTGGGCCACTGGCCTCTTCTCAGTCAATCTCTGTGGACCTTAGCTGTGTGTAATTAAGCGTGCCTTCTTATCAACTCATCTATAGGCTCGCTTAATAACCTCCTCCGCTTCCATGTCCTCTTCCTCTCTGAGCCCATGAGATGAAGATAAGGGCCAAGAGAAATACAGAAAAACACTTGTTCTGTTGGCTAACAAAGGTTCTTTTTAATACTTTCGTTTTTATTACATGACCTTCCTGGACTTGACCTTCTTTGTATTTTATCTCAAAGTTTCAGATTCTCACACCAGACAGCAGGTAACAAAGCGCACGGTAAAGTGACAGACTGCTCTTGTGCTTATGCTTATGTTAAAAATAAACCCACACACCCATATGTGCTGACGCTGGTTGAAGCCCTTCCTAAGCTTGTTTCAACTTTCCAGGCAGACATCAAAGCAAAAGTCGAGTCAAGGTGAGGGGAAACCCAGGACGCCAGCTTTCAACACAATCCATGGATCATACATCGGATGCTAATCCACAGTTTGCTCGCAATCCAACACCGCAGCCACCGATGAGACAAGTTTTACTGACACATGAATACACATTAAAATAAAGTTATAATCAAAGTCCCGCAAAGTTATTTAAAAAGATTTAATTCACACAAAAAACAAACAAACATTAAAGCAAGCAAACCAATGCAGTTTTCCAACTCCCTCCAGGTGCTTGACCTGTGTCATGACCTGGAAGTGTTCAACCTACCAGCTTCATGGTGACGTTGTTCTGCTCCCAGCGGCAGAGCATCAAACTCATGTTGGTTCATGCAGCCTCCGCTCTCAGACGCACCTGCCTCACATCCAGGAGGACCACTGGTGGCTAATGCGTCCACACATAAGTGATCTTGAATAAACTGCACCCAGCAGAGTCGGTGCAAAGCAAAAACAATCTTGAACAGGATTTTCAAAAATAGTGACAGTCTTGGGTGAGCACACCGTGAGGGATGACAGAGCTGCTGCTTGCTTGGACCCCAGCAGGTCTCTGTTTGCCTGGAGAGGAAGAGCTCAGTCCCTCCAACTTCTCTCCACCCACCCTGTGATGGAGAGGAGGGAAAAATAAATGCAGGAGGTGAAAGGCAAACGGAGCTTCACGGTCTCTGCTGCCGCTTTGAGAGGGAGCCAAACCAAATACGCTGAGAGAAGGAGAGGATGCCTCCTCCTCCCTTACCCACAGCAACACATTGTGCTTTTCAATGGACCTTTGGTCATATGGGGAGGAGACAGAATAAGAAAAGGACACCCCTGTAACCTTTCTTCTACCCCTCCCCCGACAGTCCTCACCACCCATGACAGAAAAAGGGAGGAAAAGTAACAAAAAAGGATAGTCCATGAACTAAAGCAGCAGTTTATAGAGACTAAACAGTTGAAAAATATAAAGCTCAGAGGCCAAACCACTTAAAACTCAACATTAACGATCTCTTCTCCATTTATTATTTCGTTCAGCAGCTTCTTGCCGTCCAGAAAAGCCAAGTTTTCTTTTCGCCCCAAACGCAGATGGACCAAACCGCTCTCTGATCAGCCATCACTCACAGCTCGCTGCAGGATCTGGACTTGGTATTTATGTGCATGTGTTTAGTGGGTTCACAACCTAAGTTTCTTTTATTTTTGTAAATGTGTGTGGAGGAGAGTCCACACAGCACAGGATGCCCTCTGTTCAAGCCCGTTCCAATCCCCTGCACGCACACACGCCGACCACAAATTACAAGCCGAATTTGAATTTTAGGAAAGTCTCAAGATTTACAGAAAGTTCCCACAGAAAGGGGGGGAAGCCTGATCACTTCCAGCAGGCTGGACAAAGATACGTCAACGTCAATGAAATAATAAATCAGAGACCATGTAAATAAAGTAAAGACCTTTGATACTTTTCACTCGAATGCCTGTAGTGTTGCCAAAAACAATAGCAAAATACAGTTAAATCTTAAAGCGATGCATACAACAACTGGGATACTGTGCATTGATTGTGTAAAATGAGTGTAATGCACCACAAACATAAACATGTTGGAACAGGTATCTGAATGTCAAGACTTGATCATAAACATTTTTACATATAGATTATCATGTTTTCTCGTCTAAAGACCTAAAACTACAGATTATCTTCCTGTATGGGACATCAAAAGTTTGACATCAAGTGAAACGACTGCAGGGGTGGGTGAGGCATGTGTCGCAATACTCAACAGCAAGCAGAGCAAACAGGAGCTGACAGGTTATTGTAAAGTGCCGGGAAACTACCAATAAAAACATTTTGCAATACATCTGTAGGAGAGCAAGGTTATAAATCTGTTTGTAGTCATTTAAACAACACAAAGAACATGTTCGGTATGTGGAATAAAACTGTGTGCAGTTAAAAGACAATGTGACAATAAATCCTAATGTAATATTGAATATCAGGAGATCATTTAGGATGAGTTTAAAGATAAAGAAGAGTGGATACCACCAACCAGCTCTATTAGCCATCATATTTATTATACAAGAGGAGCGCAAGTTGTGTTGTAGGAAATCCTTTTGGTATGTTAACCAGACCCCAAACTGGAACGCACCGGACAAATAAACATGTCAATAGCAGCTGTCAAGATATTTCACAGTCCATCTAAAAATGTATAATAAACTGAGACCATCAAGCCAATTGTTGGACAACCCTGAAGTGCATTGATGGCACTACAGGAATATAAAGACGCAACGTTTCAACAAAAACAAAACCGTCCAGATGAACTGACTGAACTTTGTTGGATTTTTTTTACCAAGATTATTGAGCATGAACTTTGAAGAACATATAGGCTTTACAAAACTCAGAGGAGCAAATGATAAAGTGAATCAGAGCACAAAAGATGGAAATAAAGCAAAACAAAGGTCCCATATTTTCTGGCGTAAAAGTCACAGTTTTTTGAATAGATTTGTCAGTCCTGCGACTTCTACGCTGAAGCGACTTATATACATTTTTTTCCATATTCATAATGCATTGTTTGACTCATGCTTTAAATTTCTAAGAACTGCAGCAGTGAGTCCTCCCATATGTGTTCGCTTCACTCAGCTGGTGCAGGTGGAGGAACGCTTGAGAGCTAGCAGCTCCGGCTGTGATGGATGAATGGTTGGATGGATGGATGGATGGTTGGATGGATGGATGGATGGATGGATTGAGCCATCCTGGTGAATTGAAGCTTTTTTGACCATTAAAGTGCATTTATGAAGGAAAAGTTCAACTGAGACACACCTTTGCTATAATGTCGAGTAAACAAATAATTGTTTTAGGTGCTTCCATCCATCCATTATCTTTACCCGCTTATTCCATTTTGGGTCACAGGGGTCGCTGGTGCCCATGTCCAGCAATCACTGTGCGAGGGCCGGGGTACACCCTGGACGGGTCGCAAGTCCATCACAGGGACACACAGAGACAAATGAGACAAACAACCATTCACTCTCTCACTCACACCTAGGGACAATTTAGAGTTACCAATCAGCCTAACATGCATGTTTTTGGTTTGTGGGAGGAAACCGGAGTACCCGGAGAAAACCCACGGATGCACGGAGAGAACATGCAAACTCCACCCAGAAAGGCCCCTGGACCGGGGTTTGAGCCAGGAACCTGCTCGCTGAGAGGCAGCAGCTCTACCAGTTGCGCCACCGTGCTGCCTGTTTTAGGTGCTTATCTTGTTAAATTTCTAAGAACTGCAGCAGCAAGTCCTCTCGTGCACGTTCACTTCACTCAGCTGGTGCAGGCGGAAGAACGCTGGAGAGCTAGCGGTTCCAGCCATGATGGATAGATGGATGGATGGATGGATGGATGGATGGATGGATGGATGGATGGAT